ATCGACCAGACTACACAGCGCAACAACCCAGAAGACAGAAATCTTCATACTCACCGCTGTGAAAACCTCAAATCTTACATGTCGTGTTTGTTTAAAACCTTCTTAATATGACAAAAGAAGATAATCTTAGCGTGGACGTGTTCCCTTGAAGTACCTTATTGCTGTAATCAGAATCTTGATAGATGAACGTTTAGAGGAGCATGAAATTGGAGGAAATTGCATTACGAAGAACTGAATAATTTTCAGTGTTCGCCAGTGGGTGATTATTTCAAGGAGAACAACTTGTGGCAATGTTGGAGCAGAGGGAAGTAGATTCTATATGTGGAACAGATATGTAATGCTGGGTCCATGCCGAGATGAATGAGGCCTGTGGTTCATACTCAAAGATCCTGGAATCTTATTAAAGATGCCAAAATTGAAAGCACCCCCTTGAGGACTAATATAGTAATTAATGTTTCGTAAGCCATTAGTATAATCTGTAAAACAAAAACAATCCTAAAGTACGCGTTTTTGCAAATAAAATCATTTGTCTATAGTCAGATCCGGACATGGAATCTTTAAACAAGAAAAAGATGAACAACAGATCGCAGATAAATAAAATAAATTTGTGCTTTCCTCGTACGTTTACCCTCGCCAATGCACCAAATATAATACAGCGATATTTGAATAATACTGGCGATTACTGTCCTAGTTAACACATATTTACTGGGTTACGTGTGTCTTACAGACAAAAAACAATTTGACATTTTTTTAGAACATCAAAATCTGCACATTTCGGTATCCATTTTAAGTTCTTCGAGTTATGAGCGCCACGCAGACGCCAGAATTTTAATGAGTAGGTCCATTTGTCCGAATAAAACACGGTCACCATGGCCAAACAGTCATTAATATTAATTCATGTTTTTCATCAGATTTTGCAAGCTTTTGGTGTCTTAATTTAACAAACGTCTGGTATAAACCAGTTTAGTTATTTTAAGACAGTGAAAAGCCACAAATATACAAATTAAAGGAGATTATGAATAAATGTAATTATGACGCCAACTGTACGCTTACTTTCATTTTGGGACTTTAACCTGCTTGGATCTGTTCTGCTATAACTTAATCAATACGTAAGGTTCATAACTTTTCAGGCCTTAAACAGCAGTCAACTTTAAGGAGCGAGACTAAAGTATTAATGGCTGAGCTATATGTAATTATGTCTGCCCTAACAGTGAATTCAATAGGCCAAAAAATATTTCTTTCACTTAAATCCAAGAAAGTGAGGTTCGCTGACCGTGGTGGCCAATCCAGAGGGACACCACGATCAATCCATCAGCCAGGGAACTTCCCGTTCAGGTATTCCATTCAAGTAATTGTCAACTGAAAAGTGTGATACTCCGTCACGCTGGAAGTACATCTGTACTGATGTTTTGTGTCGTTAAAAAGCGTGAATTACCCTGATGTTCCACGTAAGGTTCAAATAATATTTGATTTCATATATCAGGAACGCCTTAACCGAGGAGAGTCAACCTATTTTCATATGACATTTCTCACTGTGAATGATCTCGGACATGAAGTCACCGTGCACTATGTACATGGTATCCTTTTCCCAACAAGCTCTACCCTCTTTATTGTAATGCTCTTGCGCGAAAAAGCCTGTCCCCGAGTGATGACAAACATTTCAATTCGCACAGAATAATTGGTAATCTTTTAACAGGTCCCATTTGACTTCCTACATTCCGATTAAATCTAACTCATATTTTGATAATCATTTGATACTTTTTTCAAGAATTTGGCATATAGAGACTCCTGACATTTATAGTTTCAAATCTCAAGCATATTTTCTGTTGCTAAAGTCATTTCAAAGAATCCGTCAAAATTCATAATCATAATAATACGTCTTTGAACACACACACACACACACATATATATATACATATATATAAGATATATATGCTTATTAAACATACCTTGCTGTCTTCTCTGAACCCAACGGAGGACCTAATGGAGTACCACCGTCATCTCCATAAATCCGTACAATCTAAAAATTATTTTTCGAGTGCTTTATAACTATGAACACGATTACGCAGTACCACCACTTGTACTTTGTTTATTTAAGAACATATCCAACGTGATGAACAAATTTGTTACGAAGGCTTAAAAAATAAGTTTGTAAATACAAAAAATTAAAATAAAAATACACTGGCACGGTTTTTGTAACCGAAGAACACCAAACTTGTAACAGATTATTTTCCACAACTCCACTCATAACAGACACTACAAACAACTTCATTCGATTCTTGCAGACAGACCGTGGGCGACGTCTTAGGTCACTGAAAGCAACTGTCGGCAACTACATGAATGTTGCGTCAGCGATGCGTATGAGACTCAGTGCGCTGTGTTGTAGGGACATGGAGTAACTCCACGACCTTGAACAAATGTCTTCCTGAGGTAACAACCTACAGATTCAAGACCATTTTACTCGGCGTTAAAACCGTATGTATTTTCAGACATCAGATTGGAGATGGGCAGGTCTGAAGATAAAATTATAAAATAAATAGAATAGAATTTTATTTAAACAGCCGTGGCAAATCACCAACTGCGGCTAGAATTATGGGGCTCCCTCCAGTCTGTTCAGAAATCTACTGGTGTATTGTCTCATGCATTATTTGGTCTCAAACGTCACAACTTTTTCCGAGCACAAGTGAATTCTATAGTAGTAGTCGTGATGTCAGTGGACAGCATTTTCATCATGAAACCGTAATTTTTTTGAAGATTTCTGTCTTCTGGATTGTTGTGCGTTGGTTGACATCGACCGGACCACACAGCGCAACAACCCAGAAGACGGAAATCTTCATACTCTGATGACGGAGGCAGTATGACCTCTGAAATGTTGGTTAACATCGACCAGACTACACAGCGCAACAACCCAGAAGACGGAAATCTTCATACTCTGATGACGGAGGCAGTATGACCTCTGAAATGTTGGTTAACATCGACCAGACTACACAGCGCAACAACCCAGAAGACGGAAATCTTCATACTCTGATGACGGAGGCAGTATGACCTCTGAAATGTTGGTTAACATCGACCAGACTACACAGCGCAACAACCCAGAAGACGGAAATCTTCATACTCTGATGACGGAGGCAGTATGACCTCTGAAATGTTGGTTAACATCGACCAGACTACACAGCGCAACAACCCAGAAGACGGAAATCTTCATACTCTGATGACGGAGGCAGTATGACCTCTGAAATGTTGGTTAACATCGACCAGACTACACAGCGCAACAACCCAGAAGACGGAAATCTTCATACTCTGATGACGGAGGCAGTATGACCTCTGAAATGTTGGTTAACATCGACCAGACTACACAGCGCAACAACCCAGAAGACGGAAATCTTCATACTCTGATGACGGAGGCAGTATGACCTCTGAAATGTTGGTTAACATCGACCAGACTACACAGCGCAACAACCCAGAAGACGGAAATCTTCATACTCTGATGACGGAGGCAGTATGACCTCTGAAATGTTGGTTAACATCGACCAGACTACACAGCGCAACAACCCAGAAGACGGAAATCTTCATACTCTGATGACGGAGGCAGTATGACCTCTGAAATGTTGGTTAACATCGACCAGACTACACAGCGCAACAACCCAGAAGACGGAAATCTTCATACTCTGATGACGGAGGCAGTATGACCTCTGAAATGTTGGTTAACATCGACCAGACTACACAGCGCAACAACCCAGAAGACGGAAATCTTCATACTCTGATGACGGAGGCAGTATGACCTCTGAAATGTTGGTTAACATCGACCAGACTACACAGCGCAATAACCCAGAAGACAGAAATCTTAATATTCACCGCTGTGAAAACCTCAAATCATACGTAAAATGTTTCTTTTTATAACAGTGGATTAATTGAGCAAATATAAGGAAAGGCGATCAGTACTCGACGCCTCTTCTATTTTCACATCCCAGAAACGTTAACGTTACACATTTTAGTTGGAGAATCTGAAGGAAGCTGAGGGCATTGGGCGTAGATCAGAAGAAAGTAAAATGGGTCTTGAATAGATCTGGACGTTGTTGATGGCTGAAAATAGGGTTTATTGGATGGACGGTTAGCATGAAAGACAGTATCTTAACCACTTGAGCCAATCCCAGCTTTTAAAATGCCTTTCTCCATTTAAACATTTATTTAGTAGATATAGCAAAATTTACAATTTACACTCTTAGAATCAAAATACACTCGTGGTTTTGGTCTATTAGAAAGATGTAACACGAAGTGTTTTATCAGTACATTCTATCGCAGAATGGCATACATGACACTGGTGGGTTTAATAAGAGGAGAGAGCTTTATCTGGTTATATGCAGATTGGCTGACAGCCTCTAGGCTTGGTTTACGACTATGTGGCCTTCTCCAGTCGACTACTGATGACCCTCCGGAGGGCCATAAGCTGGACAACATAGTAGCAAGCATAGTGTGTCACTACACTTCATCAGCGAGCTAGGCAATTCGCTCAGACAAAGTTATAAGGATCGTTTTCAATGTGTGAGGTTTCTGCAAGAGACAGCCAGTCAGTGCATGGGTGCAAGTGTATCTAAATTATCGATATACGACAACAATTTTTAGGAGATATTGTAGATGCGTCATATTGTGATTTATATAGTATTAAAAATATATTAAAATTATCCGTCAATCACAATATAATATTAATAAAAGATTAAAATATCATTTTACGTTCCCTATCGAGTACTCGATTTACAAATGGAACATACACTACATGTTTCGGCTATATATAGCCTTCTTCGTAGGTCTAATTGCACACTTTTCCAAGTACAGACAAACCCATTTATTTCAGTTATTAAATGCATCAGATCTTTGGCCGGAAAATCTGAATGTATCACCATTTGAAATACCTTTTCGTTATGAGAATGTATTAGATATTTTAAATGTATCTTAAAGAATTTGGTTTGGAAGGTTTGCGATACATTAATTTAGCTCAGGATTGATTCGGATGGCGGGTTTATTTTAACACGATAGTTAGGCTTTGGGTTACATAAAGAGCGGGGTATTTATTGACTATCTGAGCTCCCGTTAGGTTCTCAATTAATCTTCTCCATCGAAGCAGCCGATCTCTTTGTCCCAGCATCGCCTGCTGGACAAAATACAACTCGTAACATTGCATTTTCTCACAATTTCTTAAAATCTTAACTTGTGACATATTGAGAACGATCATCTAGTTATTGCAGATAAACCGACGATGCGAAATATTAGGTATGTGAATTTCACGTAATTACAGACGACATATTTAAATGAACACTGACGTAAGACAAATTGTTAAAATTAATCAATACAAGTCGCATAAGATGTTTTAAATTGTCTTACTCCCGTAACGATATTAATTTGAGTGGTATTTTCAGCTATAAACTCTTTTAAATTTATTTTGGAAAACCGTATGAATAATAGATTTAAATTACATGGGCTTATGGAATAACTGAAATTCTTACTAACATGTTAAATGAATAGGGAATAAATATGGGAGAAAATAGGAATGGAGATATATAAATAAATAATTGAAACGAAGAGATTAGTGATTAAGATGCAAAAGAAATTATTCCTCATTCAAGTTTTAACTGGCTTTTAACACTAGTCATAATAACATATATAAATATTGCTATTAACAGCGTATCATCTGCAGATTTCAATACCACGTTATCCGCATTGAAATAGAAAATACATTTTCGCATAGTTTTGTATTTCAGAACGTGGTTTCATATTTATTTTTCATATTTCATAGTAACGAGACTGTTCAAGTTTCCCGAGAGATGGCAGCACTGTAATGGAAATTACATTGGTTTTTTATTTCCCATTTTAAAGTTTGACTGTTTGGTTTTGTATGTAAGTATTTCTTTCTGTATATTTTTTCCTTTCTTCCTATTCGTTCCTCAAGACTCACGTCTCTTATACACATACAAAAATGTATGACAACAAAAGTAGAATGGCACGTCTGAATGTTTGTTCCCGACCGCTCCCCGGTGGCTGGCGAACGCTTCAACAAGGCAAAAAGCAAAATGGCAGGTACCTTTTCTTTCGATCCATGTGAATGACTCCTTTCTTATCCCTTTCTTCTCTCTATTTTTATTCCAACCAACCACATCGTTCTTTTGAATGACGTACAGAGAAAAGATGCTAAAATATGAAAACAGTAAAAATGAAAATTGAGAGAAAGGCTGAAGCTCGCGAGGAAATGACTCGCTTTTCTCTCGTATTTTGTTTTCTACGCCGCGTTTTTTTCTTTTCATCCCAGACGGTATTGTGGGTTTTTAATCTGGTGAGAAATTTTTTTTCACAAAAATGCAAGCCGTTTTGAAAGTTTTTGAAACTGCCTGAAACTTATAGAGCGCCTTTGACAGCCGTAAGAATTTGGAACATTGTCAGCTATTAACTCCATAGAAATGAATATTTCTTGAGAGGCTAATTAAAAGTCGCTAAGTAAAGCCCTCCCCCCACCTTTTATTGAATGCGAATATTTCTCAAAAGACCGACATTGGGCCCTATCCTAATTAAGATGTATTCAGTTTACATCCTACCTCCTAAGTTATTTTAAACTCATTTTAATATTATACTCTAGTCTACGTAGGACTATCAAATAGTTTCTTCTTTTCAGGTACTCTGAGGTATCACCATTTTAATAATCATCACCATAATAATTATTGTTCCACGCGTGCTACATGACTCGTCCACCATCATAATCATATTATTATTATTATTATCCGATCTGTTCACCACTTTGTGGGGTATGTACTTCCATGTACCCGAGACAGACCTTGTCCCTAAGGTACATAGGGCAGCAGCTATTTCAGAAATACATTTTGTTTTTAATATGTATTACATGTATTATATAATCTTATTTTATGACAGCGTCTTTCGAATGATGTATGAAGATTCAACCCTTTTCATTAAGGCATCCTAGCAAAGGTATCCGATCAGTTTATGTTAAAACAATTTGTATTAAAATAAAAAATCTGCTCGTTTTCTTATATCGCGTGATAGACTCGCTCAGTCGGATGTCACTGGTTATGGGCTGTATAACTCGGTGTCAGGATTTTTCATCAAGCTTCCTACAGTCCACAGCTGTATGGGGGTTTCTTTCTCAGGAGTTAACCAACCCCTAGCATGAAGGTGACCACTCACCTGTCTCTATTCTCAAGGATAAGGAAACGTGGAGTTATACCTCAACTTATTAGTAATCAAATACGTTAACATGTATTCGTTTTTTAACAAGAAACAAACTTATTTTTATGTTTTAATTAATACTTTTGTAAATTTATTCATTGATCTAAAACACATTATTTAATAAAAAAAAATGCTGGATACGAAAAAGTTGAGGGAAAAATTCTTATACACAATAAACAGCGCAGAAATATGAACATGTAGTCTATAAGAAAATAACAGATTCTTATTGTTTTGGCTTTACAATCCTTAAAGGATCTTACCCGCCTCACATCCGGTAGGTAAGGCCTTTACCTATACACGACAGCACAACACACAAAGACGCTGACAAACATTAATGCCTTGAGTGGGATTCGAACCCAAGTCATAGA